TGAGGATAAAACAGAGGAGAGGAGAACGACATAAGCCGCTCTGGGTCCCCACTGGGGAGAAAAGCGGGGTATAAATACAGTACATAAATAAGTTCTGCTTGTACCCCTATGTAAACCGCTCAGAGACCCTTCGGGGTTAGGAGCGGTATATAAATCAAATGTAAATAAAAATAAAATAAAATAAATTGTTTGTAGGGATAGCATGTAAAGGGACCACTGCCTTAACGACAACGATCTCACTCCACACCTAGGCATCTATCGACCCTCCCCACTTCTTCTAACTGATAAGGTCCCAAGCATGGCTGGCTCAGACTGATGCCTCACACACTCCACATTCTCTCCTGCAGACGGAGGCTAGCCAGAGGGCTCAGGGAGGTTTCCGAGCCAACTGCACAGAGAAGCCATTGTCTGTTTCATTCATCCACTGGAATCCCGGATCAGCCCAAGACTGATGATCTAGCAAGGAAGCCCATCCGACTTACTGCTTCCACAGCTTGGATCTTCGGGATAACTCTTCGCTGTCTGGAGGAGATTACCCCAATCTGTCCAGCTAGAGGCCAAGCTACGTTACTTTTTGTCATGCGTTTGGTCTGGGCAAACAACTCTACCCCCAGGACCATTTTGGGTGGGGAAAACAGTGCGGGGATGGGAGCCTCTCCACACCACAGTCCTGATCCAAAATGGAGCCCTGAGGACCTTTAACAGTATGGAGCTGCGGTGGCTCAAGTGTTTAAGACGCTGTACTGCAGGCTGTGGAAGGTCGGTAGTTCAGCAGTTCGAGACCCGGGTGCCGCATGATGGAGTGAGCTCCCGTCTCTAGTTCCAGCTCCTGCCAACCTAGCAGTTCGAAAGCAAGAAATTGCAAGTAGTTAAATAGGTACCACTTCGGTGGGAAGGTAACAGTATTTCGTGCGCCTTGGTGTTTAGTCATGCCGGCCACATGACCACGGAAACGTCTTCGGACAGCGCTGGCTCTTCGGCTTTGAAACAGAGATGAGCACCGCAACCCTAGAGTTGGATTTGACTGGCTTTCGAGTAAGGGAACCTTTACCTTTACTCCGCCATTCCTGTGCGGCTGCAGGAAAAGAGAGTTGACTTTTCACAAAATATAAAGCGCAGTTTGGCCCCGGGAGCTTATGATTTGCAGGGAAACAAGAGGAGTTGCTCACACTCCTGTTGAATAACCTCCAGCATTTGTGAGCCAGTAGTGTATCATCTCGAAACATGGCTGTTATGGCGGGCTGTCACTGAAAAGTCTATCTCTTCCTGAATTTATTTATTTATCTTATTTACAGGAGACATCTGTCAGTTGTGGCTTCTCCCATCCCTGAAGCGAGGGCCTCAGGCAATCCTAAAAGGGGGGGAAAGGATCAAACAGCAGGGGCTGAGTGCAGATGAATTTCACCTTTGGAGAGCCAGTTGTGTAGCGGTTAAAGTGTCGGACTAGGACATGGGTGGCCACACTGTGGCTCGGGAGCCACGTGTAGCACTTTCACACATATTGTGCAGCTCCCGGCAGGGCGGCTGGGGAAGTGAAGGGGAGGCATGCTTCCCTGATCGGTCTTCCCTTCCCCAGCCAGTGTTCCCCTCCCCAGGTAGGCTTGAGGTGGGGGGGGAGAGATCAGAAAAAGAAAGGAACTTTAACTTTAAATGTGTTCTCAACACCACCACCCCCGCCAGCTTGGAGAAGGCATTTGTCTCTTTAAATCCCTTCTCCAAGCCAAACCGGCTGGCATTGGGGGCAATGGGGGGAGGGTTGGAGATCACATTTAAAATTAATGTTGCTTTCTTTCCACATGTCCCTCCCTCCCCATTTATTTGCTTTCTTTCCACCTCTCTCTCTCTTTTCCCCTTCCTCCCTCCCTCCCCCATCTATTTGCTTTCTTTGTTTCTCTCTCTGTTTCTCTTTCTCTCTTTCTTTCTACTTCTTCCATTCTTTCTTTCCACCTCTCTCTCTCTTAGACAAATACCATTAGCAAACAAATAAATATCACTGGACAAATAAACATCATTAGGAATATCTGATTTTACCCCTTTTGTTTTTATTTTTGGCAGTCTCATTTATAACGTTAATAAAAAGCAAATTTGCATATTTTTCAATAAAAACGTATGTGTCATATTGGTTTATTTATTTTTATTTATTATTTACTTATTCATTTAATTTATACCCCGCCCTCCCCGTGAGCAGCCTCAGGGCGGCTTACGTAATTGGTCTATAAATGACCATTAATTCACATAAAAAACAATTTCAAATTTCAAATACAGTAAAACATAAACTCATAAAGTGCTAAGGCTGATACATTGGGTACATAAGATGGCAAGCTGGAAATACCATACAACCAAACAGTTTGCCACTCAATGGTCTTCCTGAGCACAGTGGTGGAGGCCAGATGTTAAAACTATGGGCCGGGTCATTGGTAACAGTGGGGGCAGTTCATGTGGGAGGGGTTCGAGCGGGGTAAAAGTCGAATGTTAAATAAATTAAATAAATAAATGTCTTCAAACATATGACGTCTTCAAATGTTCAGACATCTGACGGTTATTCTATGTGGCTCTTACGTTAAACACCCTTGGACTAGGATCTGAGGAACCGTGGTTCACATCCCCACTCTGCCATGGAGACTCCCTGGGTGACCTTGGGCCAGTCACACATTCTCAGCCTAACCTACCTCACAGGGTTGTTGTGAGAATAAAACAGAGGAGAATGATGTGAGCCGCTTTGGGTTTCCCACTGGGGAGAAAGGCGGGATATAAACAGAGTGAATAAACAGATGTTGCTTGGAAAACTGACTAGTCAATTCTAGCTGTTTAGTGAAAACTGAAATTACAACAACAACAACAACAAAACTTGGGGACACAGGTTCTTTGTCTGGCTGTCTTAGGGCAGCTCCATACATGACAACTGAGGCGGGAGACAACAGCAGGACGATGACACTTCCCACAACAAACACAGACCACACAGACATCAAATGTGCCACAAGGTTCTCAGATATGCGCACACAGATATTTAAAGATGTACATCGTACGACACCCACACTTTACATTTATTTAACTATTGGGACTGTCTGCTGGCTGTTCTCTCCAGAAAATGCTCAAGGTAGCTCCTGAGATCCATAAAACACTACACTAAAAGATCATCCAAATGCTGGTAAGCTAAAAATTAAAAAGCCTCAGAAAGTTGGGGCAACAGAGCAGGAACTTTAACAATGAACTTAACTAAAAATCATGTCTACCTTGCCACTAGCATAACGCTAAGAGCTAGATAATCGCAGAATCTCCTGGCAATTCTACACAGGCTGTGATCACATGCTCCTTTAGATCCGACATAGGTACGAATGCCTGACGGATCTAAAGAGAGCGATCAGACAACAACATCTGGGAAGCGTCCCGCAGTTGTCGGCAACCCGTGCTGCTCCGCCACGGAAGCGGAGTTTAAAGACACCAGGGGAAAGTCTGGTGTTATCTGGATAAGGCGGGCCACGGGCGGACTTTCCCAGCTGTTCGCTCAAGCACACTCTCATGCTGTCGGGATGGTCTGATCAGGCCATCCCGACTCCGTGCTGTTCCCCCCCCCCTCACATCATCGCATACTCCATAGGGGGCCCTCAGTGTGGAGGTGTGGTTCCTCATTTATGCATAAGGGAAACAAATGGCAAAAAAGCGCAACTCACCCACAGTTGCATCTGATGACACAGTGACGGGCTGCGCCCGCAGCTTCGAAGGGCTGTGTGATCTCACAACTGCGTGTCAAATTCCTCTGGAGGGAATAGCCCCCGCTTCCCCTCCGCTTCAACGGGTGCGTGGGAACGCAGCCACACAACGCCATACATAGTTGTTGCCGGGGCTCATTTGCATATTAGGTGACACACCCCTAATGTAGCCAATCCTCCAAGAGCTTACAGTAGCCCCTGTCAGAAGAGCTCTGTAAGCTCTTGGAGGATTGGCTACATTAGGGGTGCGTGGCCTAATATGCAAAGGAGTTCCTGCTACAAAAAGAGCCCTGGTTGTTGCTTCTGGTGGGTGTAAGTTCATAGGAGAGTAGGCACCAGTGTTCCCTCTAAGCTGAGTTAGTGTGAGCTAGCTCACAGTTTTTTAGCCTCTGGCTCACACATTGTTGTCTCTGCTCGGGAAGGATGGCTCCAGAGCAAACTAATTTATGCAGTAGCCAAATGGCTCGCTCACCACTTTAATGCCAGGAGCTCACAAAGTAGAATTTTTGCTCACAAGACTCCACAGCTTAGAGGGGACATTGGTAGGCACTCCTTCAAACACCCCTATCCAGGAACATCTAGGGCTGCGGGATGTGTGCTGTGGGAAAGTTAACTAAGACTGGAAAGAAGTTCTGGCTTCTTTCACTGGCCAGAGGGCTGTTAGATAGTTCTGCCACATCCATCAAAGAAACACCAACTAGGCAAATTGTATATAAGCTCCATCTAACTGATCTCCCTCCCCTCCCCTTTTCCCCTTCCCTCGGCTTCCTTTGTGTGTCTTGTCTTAAACCCGAGGGCAAGGTCTGTCTCTTTACTGATATAAAGCATTTTGGGATACAATGGTCGGAAAAACGGGAAATGTACATACAAATAAATAAACCGTAAATGACAGACCAGGAACGGTCATTTCTGTAGGAGTCTTTCATTTTGAGAAAACGAGAGAGGCGGTTGTTTCACCCTTCCCACAAGACTTCAAGAAAGTACTTGCGGAGTCTATAAGGCCCTTGGAGACAAACATTTCCCCCCCTATCACATAACCAAGTATCTAATGGCACTTTCCCTTTAAGGAAATTACGATTAATGAAGAACTAAATCGCAAATCCATTAGGTTTTAGTCAGCACAGCAACACCGCCCGGGTTTTCATGAATGCTCAAAAAAATCCAATAATGTAACCTCTGGTAAAGCTTGAAAAGCCCTGAAGGACAAGGCAGTTAGATCAATATTAGTTTATTTCGACTGCTGTGCAGTACGGAGGGAGAGAGAGCCGATCATCCAGCGGATTTTATTACCTGTTGGGGAGATAAGTCCTGGTGATAAGAGGCCGGGCACTCCGTGGGGCAGGAGGCGCGTGTTCTCTTGTATCGCAACCCCCAGAGAGCGCTTGGGGGGTCTCCCTGGTCGTGAACTGTTGAAACAAAAGTGAAAATAAACTTTAAGTGCTCTTTTGTCAAAAGGATTTGCATAGTAATGCACTTTGCATTGATTTTTAAGGCCCTGAATGGCGGAGTCCTTGGCTGTTTTCAAAGCACACTCCCAGCAGTTTAACTCTTTGTGTACTCTCAAGACACCAACCAATGATCGGGGACTCGACACATTTTTACCCTGCTTGTCCTCCAAGGATACGGTTGCCAGCCTCCGTGAGGTCAAAGCCAACCCTCAATGGACGTCCAGCTTATGCAAGTATGCAAACCACCAGCAGGAGAGCCGAACTGAAGCCACACAGACTGCAAAGTCAGAGTTAATTTCTAGAGCTTTTGGGGCTCCACCACTGAGACAGCGGCCTGAAGAAGTCAGAAGAAACAGACGGCAACCTAGGCGATCCGTAGCCGCTTTATTCGTGACTGTTTTTAGAGACAAAGAGGGAGTGGTTGATAACTTCTGTGAAAAAGGAGTGTAAAAGAAAAGACTAATTCATTGTAAGGACGCAATTTGTTGTCTAATACTTTCTCTGTACAGTATTTTTTGGGTGGTTTGCAAACCTCCATGTGGTGCCTGGAGACCTCCTGGGATTACAACTGACCAAGCGACAGACGTCAGGTCACCTGGAGAAAATGGCCACTCTGGAAGGCGGACTCTGTGGCACTATACCCCACTGGAGTCCCTCCCCTCCCCAAGCCCCGGCCTCCTCAGGCTCCAACCCCCCCAAACTCCCCAGGTATTTTCCAGCCCTGAGCTGGCAACCCTATCCAAGGAACACAAGGGGTTGGTTCTCTCCCACCACACTTATCTGCACAACAGCTACAGTTGCCAATGCTGAGTTTGCGAGGTTAGAGACAGGGCCTTTTGCGCAGTGGCTCCCAAGCTCCGAAACTCTCTCCCCACAATTTACAAGCATTTAGGTACAAAAATGCTTTCTTTTTAAAAAAATTCTCAAGCTTTTTAGATGTTCCTTCCTTGTGGAGCTCCAATTTAAAAACAAGTAAAAACCTTCTTGTTTTATTTAGGCTTTTTGAGGGTTTTAAGTTCTCAGTTTTTAATGTGAGGTTATTGCAAAATGTTTTACCAAGAAATATTGACTCTGATGCTGTTTTATATTGTTTTACCTACAAATTTTACCTCTGTTTTTGTTGCTTTGGCTGCTATACTTACTTTTTTACCGTTTTATTGCTCTTTGTAGCTATTTTTTTATCCTAAGCCTCCTTGAAGAGGCTGAGCTTAAATATTTTACATAAAACACACAAATAAATGTCGTACTGCAGAGCCTATTCTTGAACAGACTACAGTCATTTGTTTTTCTGACCGTTCAGTCATGGATTTCCTTTTTCCAAGACTGATTTGCTGCTTCTGCGTCCTGTGTCAGGGGCTCAAGTGATCACACACCCCAACCTATCAAACTCACACAATTTTAACCCTCTTGGCTCAAACCACCCAGAAGCCGTGACTATGAATTTTAATCCAAAACGTAAAAGACAAGGAACCTGCATCACAGACACTGCTTCAGGTTCCAAGTGTCAGAACAAAGAGGAGGGGGCTCAGATGATAAACACAATATTCACTATGCTAATCATTCATGCATAGTGACTGTGAACAAAATGGCATGTACGGAAATAACTAATTTATTTATTATATCTGTGGTCTATCTTTCTTCCATCACAGAACTCAATATGGTGACCACAAAAATCTTCCAACCAGTACTTCTTTAGTTTCAGCAAGGATTAGTGTAACTAGTATTTAAAATAGACTGTAACACTACAAAACCCATGGTGCAGTATGACAACAGATGAAATGCATATTGACAGAAGCCTCTGAGGTCTTGTAACACTAACTAAATTTAAAAAAAAAAAACTAGGCAAAAACTGCCACTAACTCCTCTGCTTGGGAGAACTATATTTCACCCAGATGACTAACAGAGCTTTTGTCAAAACAGTGTGAAACACAACCATCCTGCAACAACGGATGAGAGGTTCATAGAAAGACCATTCCCCTCCCAGCAAATTACTTTTCCTGTTCGCTAAGAAATGCAGGTTAAACTTCACTCCATCAATCCTGTAGTGGCAAAGCTCTTTATCAAAAGAAGACAAACTCGGTGTTTAAACGGCAGAAATTTCTGGTATCATTGCACAGAGGTGCCGTTACTGCATTCATGTTTTGACAAAACGCGTGCATGCCATTTGTTTTATTGTACATTTGTCTAGCACCCTGCGAAAATCATTAAATTATTCTTCACTTTACTGTTTGAGCCCTGCACTTTTTTCTTCTCTAGATGAAATTTCCAGGTCAGTTCTATATGCTTTTTTTCTTTATTTTTCAACTAGCAAGTACATTTTTAGTTGACTTTGGGGAGTCCTATACAGTACAATCTGGCATGCTATGATGTGATGTACAGATCAATACATCTCATCGCACAACAGCTCTCAGCTCCTTGCAACCTGCTTGGCCATGGCAGAAACCGTGTGCTAAGCCCAATGGGTCTACGTACATAGCCCCAATCACCAGAAGTGTTCAGCTCTGCATTTGGCTCCTGACACAACATATTTTTACCCAGGGCTCTTTTTGTAGAAAAAGCCCAGCAGGAACTCATTAGCATAATAGGCCGCACCCAACAGCAGAAACTAATTAGCATATTGGGCCACACCCCTGACAGCACAGCTTATTAGCGCATTAGGCCACACCCCCATGTTACCAGAAGTGTGGTTATCCAGCCATACCCACCTTTTGCTTGTTATTCTGTTTACCTTGTTTGTTGTCAAAACCCAGGGCTTTTTTGTAGCAGGAACTCCTTTACATGTTAGGCCACACACCCCTAATGTAGCCAATCCTAATGAGTTTCTGCTGTTGGGTGTGGCCTATTATGCTAATGAGTTCCTGCTGGGCGTGGCCAACTTGGGAGCCAGCCGGAACTCCGTTCCTGTGCGTTCCTGCCCAAAAATAGCCCTGTTTTTACCCTTCCTCCAAAAAGATCAGAAGGCATACAGGATACTTTCTCCTCCCCTTTATCCTCACAACAGCCCTGCAAGGCAGATAAGTCTGAAAGTGACTAGGCCAAAGTAACACACGGAGCATCATTTCATGGAAAGCATCTGAACGTAGAGCTCCCTGGTTCTAGCCCTGATGCACTTACACCACACTGGCTCCCACTGCACATGAAGAAGTCACACGGGACTGAGAACCATCACACGATGTAATTTATAGAGGCCATGGGCGCTATGGGTTAAGTTGCATCAAGTGTCTAGCTTAAGGAGGAGTTGGATTTTTGTGGGACAACATTTTTGATGTG